TCCCCCCACCCCCCCACGCACTCTCAGACCTCCTGATTGTGCCAGTCTTTGGATCCACTCTGCAGAGGCAGAGGTGGTCATAAGGGTATTTTTCTGAATTCCCAATTTTGAACATCTTTAAAGAAAGGGCGTGGGAAACCTGTAGTAGAATGTTCAGAAGGTTGGGGAACTCAATCTGGGCCTTGCAGCCTGAGGTCAGTCTGCGTCATGGGGTTCTGCCATCAGCTAACTGAGATCAGGGGTCTTGAGTCCTAGCTCTGTCTGAGTCATTAAATGGTAAAAATACTATATTGAAAAGTTTGCCCACTGCAGTCATGTTCTGGACTGCTTCTTGATTTCAATTTAATTCAAATGGTTTAAGGGTGATAGACTAGTGACTACCATAGGTGGTCAATTTCCAAGTTGTGCTTGATCATATTGTGTTGCTGATTGTATCAGTTGGGATAAAGGATTGTGGTTGATTTGATGAGCTGTTTTCTCTGATGTTATGAAGATGAGAATGTCTGTGGGTCGTTAGAGACAAAGAAGCTAGGAAACAACTATATCAGGAAAATTTGGATGATAACCCAGAGATTAAACCAAGGACAGCCCAACAACAAAAGTAAAAATTAGAAAACACTTAAGCAAGACACAAATACAGACTTCCAGTTCACCAATAGGAAACAGTAGGGCAAGTGAGGATGAAAAGGCCGATAGTGAACCACCAGGACACCCTGAACTCAAAGCACAGGAAGTAACAAAACAGATCAATCAGGCTCTAGAAAAATTCAAAACAGAAATAATTTCCCAGATAACCATAGAGATGGTGAGCAAAATGAAAGTCATGATTTGAGACTCTAGAGCAGAAACTGACAAAAAAATAGATGAGCTCAGCACCACGATAGAAGCCATGAAGGCCCAGCATAAGAAAGAAATGGAAACAATAAACACCCAACATAGGAAAGAAATGGAATCCATAAAACAGATTCAAACAGATATCCAGGAGATTAAACACGCCACTGAAAGTGTACACAATGGAATAAAAGAATGCGAAGATAGACTCTCAGATATAGAAGACAAGATTGCAGTCAGTGACCGTGGAAAGAGAGGTCTCTTAAAAACAGTAAGAGATCATGAGAAATCAATCCAACAATTCCTAGATGATGCAAAGAAGAATAACATAAGACTGATAGGAATCCATGAAGTAGCAGGAGAAAATACAAATGACTTTAAAAAGTTGTTCACAGAATTAATGACAGAAAACTTCCCAAACAGAGGGGAAGAATTTGACATTCAGATAAGTGAGGCATATAGGACACCAACTAACCACAATAAAAAAAAATCTGCACCTAGACATATAATAATCAAGATCCCAGAAACCCAACAGAAGAACAAAATACTACAGGCAGTAAGAGAAAAGAAACAAATCACATACAAAGAAAAGCCCATCAGAATCACAGCTGACTTTTCAAAACAAACCCTTAGGGCAAGGAGAACCTGGAGTGAGATATTTCAAGTACTAAAAGAGAACAACCTCCAACCTAGACTGATGTATCCTGCAAAACTCTCTTTCAAAAAGGATGGGGAAACAAGATACTTCCATGACAAAGAATACCTGGGAAACTACATGAATACCAAACCAGCACTACAAGCAATTCTAAACAAGGTCCTAGAAAAAGACAATCAAGGCAGCCACATCATGAAGCCCAACAGAGCACATCAAATATGCAAGGCAAGAAACTAAAAGGAGAAGGTGAAAAAGTAAAAAGAGTCAACAAAAGGCCAATAACATGTCAATAATAAGTCAGTACATATCAGTTATAACCAACAATGTCAATGGCCTCAACTCACCAATCAAGAGAAATAGACTGGCAAAATGGAATAAGAAGCAAAATCCAACAATATGTTGTATACAAGAAACACACCTAGTGCAAAAAGAAGCCCATAGACTGAAAGTGAAAGGATGGAGAACAACTCTCCATGTGACAGGAGCCCAGAAAAAAGAAGGGATAACAATTTTATTTGCAGACAAAGCAAATTTCAAACCAAAACTGATTCTAGTATTATTGATGTGGGACAGTACTGTATCATACCTCTGTGAATGTAAAATATCTTGTACCTGCTTTATGATATGTAGTAGTGACCAAGCTTTATGAGAGCTATTTTTAAAGATATTACTCTAGAATGTTCTCTTTCCAGATGATGATTAAGATGCTAATAAAAAAAAATGGTGCCAGGTACCACAACAGCAACAGAACTTTGCTGTTATCTGGATATTATTCTTTTGTTTTTTTGTTTTTGTTTTTTTAATGGAATGTGCTGAATCTATAATTTTGTTTGGATGACTGCACAACCTGGAGAAGCTGTTGCTGCTATTGATGCATAACATACTGCTATTATCGGTCTTTTTATATAATTATATATATACATA